TCATGAAAGGTAACAAGTGCACATATTCTGTCAGTCAATCTATTCTTGTTTATCGCACACACACACACACACACACTGACACATAAAAGCACAGCCCTGCGCACCGTGTTGCTACCTGTCAAGCTGTCTTCACTTCTGTGACTTGTTTTCCGATCCTCAGTCTTTGAAGTGTCACTGTGCAGATGATTGTCATCAGGGAATTCTACTCCCATCTCATTACTGACATTATGAATTGATTGGCTTGTTTGTGTGCACTTCATGTTCACATATAGTTTTTTTTATGATAAATGTTGATTCTTTCTCGTCATGTATCGTCACGTTCACTTTGTGCGAGTGGCCTTGTCAGAGCTGAAGCATATTTAGTCTTGAGTGACATATTTTAGTGCGTCTCGTTAATCCTGGGTGGTTCGTGTATTCTTTAACAGTATGTTTGCTTTAATTGATTGACGGCAGTGGAAACAACAACATCGCTGCATTTTCTTTTCTTCCTGAAGTCAAGATGCAGAAATACATCACCTTTTTTTCTTTTACTGTAAGCGTTCTTTTTTCATGATTTTTGCCAAACTAAGCTGGCAAGTTACATCCAAGCAAGACTTCGTGTTTTATGGTCAAGCCTTTAGAATAAAAGCAGAAAAACTTGCAATTGTTAAAGTTCTAACCTATTTCAGTCAAGAAAGATACCTGCGATGATCCTCAACCGTATACTTTCACGATAGGTTAGTGATTTCACTCAAGTTTAGTGTCATTAAATGATGAAAAATACCAAAATATGTGATTTGCTTTCCCTTTTTAAACTGTTACGTCAAATATTAACATGGGACTTGTCTTGTGACAAAAAAAACTCTGCAGAGAGGAGCTTCACTCAGTGACAGATTGACTCCAGGTGTCATTAATCTCACTTCCCCCGGAGTGAATGAGTTTTGTTCCAAAACAAAAAAAAATGTCCCTTCTTAAGTCCAATCATATCAAAGGAACACATAACGTAGATGTTCAGTTCTCTTTAACTTTGAACAAGTTTAATTCACTAATTAATTTGAGTAATTGTGAGTACTTCTAGTTAAATAAACATCAACATGGAGCGAGAGGAATGTGCACCTTCTTCTCGGCCTGGAACATCAACATTTCTCAAAGAGAATCAACATTTGAGATGATATGCTCTATAACGTCCTGCTAACAGATTTTAAGAAGGACTGTTGACATGAAAAGCTTGTCGGCCATTCATGCCCTGTTGCTGTTCTGTCTGACCTCGGCCGAATGAATGTAAAATAATCCACGGTCTGCCTCACGATTCTGTCATTGAACAACTCCAGAGGAAACACGCCTACCTGACAATATCAAAAGATATGTCCAAAACAACGAGCTAGCTTACCAGGTCTCAAAAAGAGAAATGGCCACCGAAGCCTCCCTGGTGTTAGCGTAACGCTGATATACTCTATAACATTGCCTGTCAAAGCCCACAATATTCCTATGCATCGAGTGATTTGAGTGCAGATCTCAAGCAAATCCCTATAGAGAGCAGTCTGTAAGCTGTATGGTCAACACTATTACATTTACTCTGCAGCTTATCTTAAGGATGCTCATTGCTATTAGCTTGAGAGGAGGTTATTACTTTCTCCACTAAAGCATTAGCGGTGAAAGAGCAGTGCATACTGAGCTCTCTGCAGAATGACTGCATGCCCTTCTGCTCTAAAAAAAAAACAACTTTGAATAGCTAAGAACAAAATGTAATAATATCATTTTGATTCTGTTGGAAAACATCCACAGATGTCATTTCAATCAGGAGATACTTCATTAAGAGTTAAAGTTATTTAATGGACAGTTTACGACACGATAAATATGCAATGTCTTTTTCGATGAAGATTCCGTCATGATGACTTCATGCACTCAGAGGGGTAGTGAGGCCGACAGCAGGATAGGATGTCCCCTTATGGAGGCTGGACACTGGTGGTGGTGGTGATAGAAGGATGCAGGATGTGATGAGGAGTGGGCTTCTGACGTTGTATCTGTACGCTGCTGAGCTGGAACGGAGGTGACTGAAACGACAGACTGACTGTGGAAGAAGGAGGTTTTGAAAAATTTGACCGCAGCAGGATGATTGGTCGAGAGAGGTGTTGTGGCAGAATCTGGTTGGTTTATTCCTTCAAAGAGTAAACGCCAAAAGATCAGCTGTTCACCAGAGCAGGGAGATGGAGGGAGTGTGGTCAGGAGGGAGTGGCTAAATTGAATGAAGAAAATGGAATGTATGTGTGAGAGTATAGAGAATATATAGAGAATATAACCAGTCTTCCTGCTTGAATTTACGCTGAGCTCCATTTGTCGTACCTCCCTGAGGTCTCCACACTGATAAGTTAGTTTGTAGTTATTGAAGGTTTACAGTAGAAGCACCTAAGCTTGCACCCAGAGGCTTTATAGTGAAGTTGTTGTGTAATCTGGCCTGGCTAAACACAAAGACAAAATGTCTATTTGTCATACAAATCACACTTTTTACTGCTTTTCCATGGATTTCACTTTTCCTAATGCCCTTTGTGCTCCAATATTGCAATTAATATTCATAAGTAAAGTTTGAAAAGCATTTGTAGGTGTTATTTATGAGGAGTTTCACAAAGAAAAAAAAATAAATACAAATCTGCTTCATCACGACACTGTGGGTGTGTGGGTTTATTTTCCAGATTTGACCAAACATCCCACAAATGTCCTCAGATTCAAATTCAAGTGTTACATAATCCTAATTGGTACGCAACAGTATGTGACATGTGGCTTCTTTTTTTTTTTTTTTTTTTTCGTAACAGCCACTTGAAACAACAAGGAAAGAAAAAATGTTTTTTTTTTCCATCAGCAGAAAAAAAGAGTGCACTCATGTTGGATCACAGGGCTAATTGAAAAAGTTGGTGTCTCTTGCCGCCTTTTTGTCCGCCGCTCGTGAAGTTGACCTTCTTGACCCAATCGGAGCATCTCTACAGCTGTATCTTTAACCCCCCCCCCCCCCCCACCTCCTCCACCTGTCTCTGGTGGCTAGGATAGAAGGATGTCCCGGGTTAAATGTAAGGTTAATGTGTAGTGTGAGCTGCTGGAGTAATTAGTTCATTTAGAATCGTATTGATCGACCTCCTCACTCAACCTACGATTTAATGCATTTAGTGGGACGTGGAAGAACGGTTGGGGAAAAATAAAGGGGAAGAAGAAAGATGTCGAACAATAAAACGTTCAAGGCTCTATTGTATGGGCTCCTTGGCACTCGGTTCCTTCCTCAGTTACGTGTTGCGTGTCAAGGCAATTGACCATTTAGTGCTGAATAATCCCCCATCCAGCGTTTAAGCCGCATTGGTCTTTGTTTGGTGTTAGCCGAGGCTACCCGAGGCTCCAAGAGTGTTCTTCCAGGAAAAGGGAGATGGAAGAAAAGAAAGAAAAGATCAGAAAGAGAGTGTTTAACGTTGCTAAATACGGCCTCAGGAAGAAGAGAGGGTGACATTGGCAGCAGAATAAATGAGCCTGTCGGGGTGTGTGAGTGGTGATCTCTGCATCTTAAACCTGTAGAGGAGTGAATCTGGTGAGATTTAAAGTGAGGGATGGGCAGCATTCACCAATACCTTACATAGATTCTGGTAATAGATTTTTTTAATGAAGTTTGAAAGAAAATTCCAAGGAATTGTTTGTACTTTTAATTCTCTAATTGATGAATGCCATTTGCTTGTGCGTTAGCTTGTGCCAGTTTTTTCAATATTGGCTCAACGCCCATAAAAGGGCACGAGACTGCGAGGCATGCACACGGGGTCGAAAAAAGAGAAGTGGAAAGAAGAAGGGAATGCAGGATGGTGGCGCTGGTGGAATTGGAACAACAAACAGGCTGATTTATTTTACAAGAGAAGAGCTACTGTATGTCATCAGAGTGAAAGGACGCCATCAGATGAAATAAAATATTATGGTTTCAAATCTGATACGAAGCAAGGGCGAGACACAAAAAACAGACCTGAGAAGTAATGTGATTTGAAAGTACAATTCTTCTGAAAAGCTGTAAAAAAACAAATAATAAAATGCAACGTGAAAGATTTGTCATTTCAACATTGTGTTTGTTAAGGCATTTGTGGTTGCGAATATGTGATCTCTTTTCATCATTTTTTAAATTACAACCAGAGTGCTTGTCATTTATTTTAGATTTAACATTCACTTTTGCAGTTTAGAACAAACACTGTGTCGTTTAAATGAAAGTTACCTCCATTTTAATCATGTTTTGTTGTATTTTAAAGCCCCTGTGAGGCTTTTTTTTAGTTGTAAAGGAAACAGATTAAAATGAATATAAGCTCCTCTATACGAGCCACAAAGGCCAACCAGCCCATCGGAATAAAGACACACTTTTTTAAATATAGTTAATTTGGATAACTGAAACTGCTTTGGAGGGGTAGGTGTCAAAGACAGAGTGATTAACATCATGCTGCCAAAACAGACTTGTTTTTTTCCACAGCAAAGCTTCTCAATGAGGGAATCATTTAAAGGTTAAAAGAAGACAGGATGAGATTTGTGGGGGGGGGGAATATAAACACTGCTTGTACATTTTACATGACACAATCAGCAGAGATAAGAGGCGCTTAAACAGCATGCAGAACCATAAAAAAAAAACCCACAAAAACCAACATTTTGCAGAAGCACATCAGCACTCCAGTGTGCACCACTATGCTGTTGAATGTTTGTTTGTTCCAACCTCAGAACAAATCCAAGATAAGACAACTGTGTTGAACATCAAAATCTTCTTGAAAACCGTTTAAGTGGGTGAAAAAAGAAAAGAAAAAAGAATATTATTTATTAGAACATCTGGTGAATGAGGCCCAATAGCTCTAAATCTTGTACCTCATTTAATCCCCCTTTCGAGATGGAACTTCTTCAATGCGTGTTTCGTCATGTGACAAGTTTGTTGTGCGTAATTGTCTCACAGATGCTGCTTATGTCCCCTGTGCACCCCCCTCCCCTCCATCGCCTTTCTCCCCCACCTCCTCCTCCAGGGAAGCTGGCGCAGAAAACTGGGGCACAGAAGGCTGCGAAACGCAAACGTCTACCACCGTCCACACCAAATGCCGGTGCAGCAGGATTTCCACCTACGCCCTGTTAGCGCAGCAAGCTAAAGACCCGGTGAGTCACTTGTGCACAGCCTGATGAACTCTGTGGGCAACAAGGTAACTCGTACTATGGAGCAGGTCAGGAGGCTGATGACTGGACCGGTATAGGTGCTTGTTTTTCTGTAGTGTTGCTGGGAAGATTTCTTACTTTACCTGCATCACTTAGCAAGAAAGAAAAACAGCTGCCGACTGAAGAGCGCTGTCACTTCTAACTTTGTTTGTGCCAGCATCTCTTTGCTTGTCTAATTATACGCTGATCGGCTGTCACTCTCCGCATTAAGCTCCTTTTGTCTTGTTCAGCTTTTAACTCACAGGAGGTCGGGATGTTCGGCGAGTGACTTCAATCAGAAGATAGGAAGAGATTTTGTTTTTGTGTCTGTGTGTGATTTTTCTGCCTGCAGCACATAACCTGCGCTCCTATAAATAGTCCACGCGGGCTCGCAGTGTGTGTTTGACATGATTAAAGGCGGCTTTAGAGCGGTGCAGGGTAATAATGCCTGTTCGGAAAAATTGACCCACTCTCCTGAATGGCGCTAATGGACATCTGATGACCCGACAGCTCTTAGTCCACCTTTTCCATTGGTTTGCCATCTCATCACCGTCTTATTCTCCTCCTCCTTGACTTGTTGCTTTTTACACATCTTTCACTCTCCTTTTCATCTTATTAACACCTTCACTCCTCACTTTATTCTCCTTGACTGTGACGGTCATAACACCTTCCCTTTTAGCTTGTCTGCTAGATTTCCTCAATGCTCACTCTGCACTTAATGCCCACAAGGACAGCGTGTTAAATAATGAGGGAGTGAAAGGAGCTGCGGTTTGTTTTCACGCACAGCACTCTGTAGAAGTTTTCTGTGTTTGTTCCTGTGAGTGTGTGTCTGTGTGATTGTCTTTGGTTTAGAAAATGGAGCCAGTAAAGCAGATCCCTGGTAAGCACTGGAGGGTAACTCCAGGTGTCACACAAATGGAAAGTGATTGTGAAGAATGGCGGATTTTTCTGGGAGGAAATGTTCAACCAAACACAGAAAAAAAAAAAAAAAAAAAAAAGGCAGACTGGTCTCAGCTGGCGGAAAGCGAGAGCAAGAGAGAGTGGGGCAGAGAGATGGAAGGGATATGTTGTCTGTGCTCAGTAATAATACATTAACAAACAGTGTCGCTGCGATAAAGAGCTGCAGGCTGGTGTGGACATCTATCCCTGTGTAACCTTTTCAGAGAAAAACAGTGCTTCCATATAAAACTCAAGGTTCCTCTGATTTTCCATTTCGCCACAAACTTTCATTAAGAATGAGTCCCCTTCCTGAGCACTACCGAGGTGCTCTTGAGCAAGGCGCCGAATCCCCCAACCAGCTCAAGAGTGCTCGATGTGGGCAGCCCCCTCACTCTGACATCTCTCCATTTGTTCATGTCCATAGGATCCTTTTTGTGCATTGTGTGTGTATTTCAACCAATGTGTGTGTAGCATGTTCAGCAACAGAGTGTGAAACTGAATATTCCCTCTTTGGATTAATAAAGTATATCTTCTTCTTCTTACCAAATATGGGGGTAAAAAAAACATGTCATAAAGAAGGCGCTGTGGCTTTATTACTTTACAGCATGTTCTCTTCATCTTTATTCTGGCTTCGTTTTATGCCGTCTTATAGTTGTTTTCTAATTCAAGACGAACCTTAATGGTGAGGTCTAATGGAATATAAATGGAACTTGTTGGCTGCTGGTTGCACAAGAAGTAACGCTGCGTTCATGTGCTGCTCGGGTGGTCCAAGTTTCCGAGTTGGGAAGTCGTTCAGCGTGTTCACAAGATTTCAGTTGAGAAAGTCGGAGTGTTGTAACAACAGCAAAAAAAAAAAATTGAAATGTGAATGTTTGGAATGTGAATAAAAATGTACGCTAACGTTAAAAAATATATATATATTTCGGCTCTAATGTGATGACGATTCTGACGTCAAGTCGGGATGTCGGGCACCTGATTCTTTTCCGAGTTGTTGTTCCTACATGAGCAGGGTGTCCTTTTGGGATTGAGTTGCTATAATACAACTGGTTTGACTGGTAAATGAAAAGATTTAAAGCCACAGTAGGAGAGATGTTTTTCAGTGAGAGATTTGTAACATAAGTTTATTGCTTAGATTTGTAGACCCCTTCACATTTGGTGGTGCACTGTTTGACTTTGATAATGTGCAACTGGTTTTACCCATGTGTCCGACACCACATGAATGCACCATTATTCCCAACGAATAAATGTTTCGAATAAATGATGTTTCTCTAAGATCCAGATCCACTATGTAATGGTTTCTACACACTGTAATACCCATCAGCATCTGGCACCATCACCAGAATATCCAGACACAGCTTCTGCACACTTTTGCACCACACTCAGAGGTAGAGTTTGTTTCATGTCTTGAGTTTTTATCTGTTTTAGTTGTCAGAATCAGAAATACTTTATTTATCCCCCAGGGGAAATCGAGTCGTTACAGTTGCTCTTGCTGCAATACATCGTCGAAGGAATAGAAGAATAGAAAACATGAATACAATAAGAAGTGTAATTAAGAGATAAAGCAATGAGTACAAGAGTGTTAAATAAAGCTATGAACCAAGGGCATGTTGTGAAAGAACAAGCTATGTACAATGTGCAGAAGGTTGAAGGAAATAAGCACACAGAAACAGAAAGATATTACAAGAGTGTTGCACAGTATAGGTTTCAGTATCCCACGTTGTGTTGTTAGACAGATTGCTTTGATAATTAATAAATGATGAATAATGGAGGACTTTACAGCTGTCAAAAGAAAACAAAGAGCGTTTGGCCACATATGTTAAAAAAGCAGCACTTTTTTTCCTGGCGCCATTATTTCCCTTCTTTAAGGGTTTCATACAGCATGGAACTGTTAAATACTTCACAGTGTCATGAGGATATGATTTCAACTTTTCCTTGTAGAAACCAAGCGTGCCAGAAAAAGTTCCTCTAACTTTACAACTGTCATTATATTTTCATATAATAGCCAGTTTTTCACCATATGCTCACTTTTTTTTCCCCCCAGCATCGTGTCTCTTAAAGTTAGGCTTGATTCATTTAAAAGTGCTTTAACTGTCATCGGAAATTCACAAGCACATCTTTGATGTCCAGATGCTGAGTCTGCTTGGACACATTTGACTCTTTTTTTAAATGCAAAATAAAAAAATAAAAAAATAAAAAAATGCTTTTTAAACAGGTGCACCTCTGCAGCCAGCGCTTGCTGGAGGGATTTCTTTGAAGACAGAAAGTATACTTGAACAGTGGCCCATAGGTCGCTCACCAGGGGTATTATGAGGATGTTAAAGGTTCCACAAAGCTTAAAGGGGATCGTACTGGGATGGGTCATTCAGGTTACAGCTGCTGTGGACTTTCATTCGGGTGGATCAAGTCATTTAATCCATCCAAATTTGGATAAGCCAAGATGAAACTTGCTGGTGTCCCCGGTGACACAGCTGAGAGGGCGAGATGACTCAGTGAGTCACTAACTGATGCTGTAACTTTTGGATGCCCTTCCCAATGCTAAAGGTTTTTTTTTTACCCAAGATGCTTGATAGCTACATGATATTTAATCCTCGGATGAATTGTAACAGTTGTCATTTTATTCCCTTCTCCATTTCCCCTGGATAACCCCACCCCCCCTTTTCCCCTTTTCATTAAATGTAAAGAGGGTCAAAATAAGGTGATTGCCTTCAGTGGAGTAACCGCAGTTATTCATTATTTTGTCCCTCAAAGCTTGAATTACTTCACAGGGGTCTGCAACCTATTGAAGAACTGGGGGAAATGTTAATTCTCTATTATATGGAAAACGGCGATACCTGCAACCTTTCAGCTGAAAGGGTCGTTCCCCTCGCTATTTCTGTCTCCTGTGACTCCTCTTCCGACTGAACAATATTGACTTTGCCGTCACTGCTGCAAGCATGTCAGACGTGTGTAGAAAAACAGGAAACACATTGACTTTTTTTTTTTACATTTGTTGCATTTGTAAAAAAGTGGGTTAGTCATTGGTGATTCACCAGTCAGCCTCTGGTGCCACCATTAGACTTGATGAAGAGGCCTGGGGGATATGGGTCAGTGTGTTTGTGACCGTGGCTCTCAGTCATGAGCTGTTGTGGCCAATGTTGAGTGCACTTTGTAGCTTCAGGGTCCGTTAGAGTTGGATTTTGTTTCAGCAGGAGATTGGATTGTGTATAGGGAGGGAGGGAGCGACGGATTGAATTTGGCAAGGCATAAACCCCCCCCCCCCAAAAAAACAGCCACATCCAGACATGCCAACATGGACGACAACGTTTCCGTGCGTGCATAACAGGTCGGCATGCAAAGAAACTTTTGATCAAAACACACATTCGTATGCTGCGTCCAGCTTGTGTGGCTGCTGGAGCAGAGCGGAGTATCAGCAGCCCAGCTCTGACAGCTTATCCCAGGCCACGGCGCTAGGGACAAGGAGGGCTGAGGATTAACCTCCATGTTTAATAGAAAAGGGAAGGGAGGGGAGGGATGGAGTGGGGTGGAGGGTGGTGGTGGTGGTGGTGGTGGGGGAAGGATTTAGAAGCGGTGCTGCCATTACAGGCCGTTTACAGTGGAGCGAGGGATAGCCAGTTAATCCTGTTTACTTTCTATAGCCTCTGAGATTTCAGTGTGTGTGTGTCTGTGTGAGTATCCTGCTGCCTGTGTGTGTGTGTGTTTGTGTGTGTGTGTCTATAGTTAGACCTTCTATCAGACACAAGGCAGAGGTTGTTACTTTAGAGAAACAGGGGAAAGAGAGAGGTAGAGAGAGAGGATGGGTTTGAGTGAGTTCACAGAGCCAAACAATAAACCAAACCACTTAATTCCTAAAATGACTGCAGTGGGAATACAAACCCTGTGGATACATCTGGACTCATTGCCTCAACAGTTCTCATACAGGGATCATGGGATTTGGACTTTAAAGGAGCAATTGGCTTTATTTAAAAAATCTGTTTAACATTTTAAGTTAATCAAGCCAGTTTTACCTCTTCGCCTCACTATTGTCA